TTTGGAGCTGAACAACTTTCAGTTCAGTTGAACTACGGACTGTCGTTTGCTTCCTCACGTGGACTTGCTTTGCTTCTCTGTTTCTCACTCTGACAAAAATGTCATAAAACTGCGGTTTTGGATTTGATTAATCCTAAACTTAAAAGCAAAAGAAAATTAATAATAAATTAAACTGATATTTAAAACAAGAAAAAAAAAAGGAACTTTGGTTTTGGTGGTTGATTCCTGTGAGTTAAGTACATCTTTGAATCAGGGCCGTTGAATTTATTAAGAGGGCCATAGCATCGAGATTAGGGATTTGATTGGGCACGTGTCATAAATGTCCTCAAACATTCTTACAAATTAACTGGCATGCCTTCTAGAACTGTCCCACACATAGTTTACTAATGTTAAATTTATCTGTATTATTCTATATGCTTTTCTTTTAATTTTTACCTTAAAAGTTAAAACAATACAAAGTTACTTTTGCAGATTAAAAGTTTTTCTTTCACAATTTTGGTAACCTCTGTATAAAATGGTAGAGAAGAAAAAAAGCTTATGATTTCTTTCTAAATTTCTAAGTGGTATAAAATGTTGACATTTAGTGTTTTTAGGTGGCATAGTTTATTCTTTAAAATTTTACTAACTCAGTAGATAAAGTGTCACCTATGAGCAGTTAATTTTAACTTTAATAATTAAAAAAAGTTAAATTAAATTGAAACTTCTGAACCATGGTAACTAAATTGAAAGAACATCGAATATTAGAGATTCAAACGTATATTTAATCTAAAAATCAATATAAAAGATATTAAATGTATGTTAATCTATCTATTTAACCGACGATGGTTTAATAAATATAAAAGTAATGAGTCCTATCATCAAAATTAGAGACTATTAAAAGAAATAACATGTTTAAGTTCAAGAATGAAGCATTTCGAGTTTTACTAAGATCGATTGTACTGAAGTTGGTACGCCATAAAGTTTGAAGATCATAGTAACACAAGAAACAAGTTTTAGAAAAGAGACCCAAGCTGAACACAAATAGCCTCTCTTTTTTAGTCCAACAAATTATGGAGATAGATGATTTAAATCTCTAAAAAAATTTTGTCAATAATATATATTTTAATTAGTTGAGTTATATTTAAATTGACAAATAAATACTTTCAGCAAATATCAAACAGTTATATTTAGCTCCATGCAAGTCTTGATGAACAATACTCTTCCCCCAAAGATATACAATCTCCTAAAATTGGTTTTTTTCTTTTTTCTTTTCTTTTTTTTTTATTTTTGCCACAAGAATGAATTCTAAAAGTCAATAATAAAATACCCATTTGATCACAATTTCCTTTTTGGTTTATATTTTCAATGTTAAAATATTTATATAGTCCTTATTTTTTCTTTCTCAACTTTTGTTCAATTTGGTCTATTTATTTTTCAAATGTCCACCTTTTGGTTTCAAGACTTTCAACTTTGATTTATTTTAATACATTTGGTTTTATGTACTTTAAACATTCGTTTTGTCCATGTACTATTAAAAAGTGACTATTTTGGTCAATGTTTGTAAAATTTTTGACATAAATTCTATACACAACAGAGACCAAATAATATAAATTTATGATTTATTTTAAGAAATATATTGAGTGTGTCATACTGAAATGCTAATTGAAAAAATGTATAGAAAATACAATGAAAAGACAAAAACGATAACTTTTTCTAAGCACGAGGATCAAATTGAACGATTTGAACATACATAGATTAAAGTAGACAAAAATAAAAAGTATAAAGACCAAATTGAGCGAAAGTTGGAAGTATAATGATCAAAATAGTATTTTAACTTATTTTGAGAAAAACTATGCTTATTTTTTCACAATTCCTTTGACATGTTTTTCATTATGCGCTATTTGAAGTCTCAACTAAGATTTCAAAATTTAACTTACATTTTGAAAATATTTTTCATAATGTAGATAAGCTTTATTGTCAGAAATTGTTGATGTAAAAATTTGACCTCTTGGATTCCACTAAATTCGCATCAATCTTCTAAAATAAAAGGGATCGACAAGACCTGCAAAACAGAAGAACACCAAAAATCGGTGTGGCGCTACCCAGGCTCCGATGCTTAAATTAGAATCGGAGTAGTCAAATAGGAAGAATAAGGTGTTCTTTGCATAGAAAAAGTAGAGATTTGTAGTATACCTCAACTATGTGTATTTTCCTTCTATTTATAGAGGAAAAACCTAGTATTATTTTATTTGAAGCTAAGGAGAATCCTGAGGCCATGAGTATATTTTAATATAGAATATCTTCTCCTTTTGAATTCCTTAAATAAAGATGACAAGACTTGATTAAAGGCTAAAATGTGTAGGTTTTACGTACTTATGATGGTTATTTGGAATGGAAAATGTATGTTCATGCATATAATTTATGGAAAATGTATATAATTTGTGATTAGGAACTTTGGAATTCAGTTATAGGTAAATAAATACTAATTTGGGTAAATATGCTTATTTTGTAAGGAAAAGTGAAGATTTATGATCACAATGCGTCAGACACATCGCATGTCCAGAATTTCCAGCTTACTAAAGGAATGCACCAGCCAAATTACTTTGAAAGTTCCAGCTTCACAATGCTTCAGCCACATTCGATGTCTTGATTCTCAAAACAGGAATAACAACTTTTGACCAAATTATTGGTCCAAGATTCGGTTTTACTCCTAAAATCTCTACAACCTCATTTGGTTCCAACCTCCCATGCATTTCTCAACATCTTGTTACCTCCATGGCCTATAAAAAGGAGCTCCTAAGCATCATTTCAAGGCATCTCATTTTCCATGCTTTTGTTTTCCTTTCTATTTTAGTTTTGTAGTTTTTATTTAAGTTTTGTTTTCAATTATTTTTCTGCAATTACTCTTGTTTATTTTATTGCAATTCAATTTGTTCCATTTTGTACTTTCTTTCCAATTCAAATTAAAATGCTTTCTTTTGTTATATTCTCTTGTGTTTTAATTTCTTTCAATTCCATGAGTAGGTAAATTGTTTCTTCAACCCTCCTACAAGTTTAGTTCATCTATTTAAATTACATCTATCGGTGAGCACAGCGTATTACGCTCTCTTTGCTTATCTTGATTGATACAATTCATCCAGTTGATTTCTTGTTGGTCACTTGTTTAAATCACATTAGTTTGAATTTAATTCTGAAAAGGTTAGAGTCAAACGGATCTCATCAAGGTGAAACGGGAAGTTACTTAGAAATAAGAACTAAAACAAGATCCTAGACATAGGCTCTCTTACCCGTTAAACGTAAGTTGGAACTTGATTTATTTAGGATTCTAGAGTTGCATAGACATATGTAAACACTAGCATAAGCTTCTAAACAAACCAAAAACGGTATGGAATAGAAGTTGAACCAGTTTGCATAAATTGAGTTTAATTACGGACACACTTGATAGGTGTAATTCATCTTTTAGAACTAAATCTTAGTAGGGGTTGGTTTTTTAATCTGTGTTTTTAAATTGTGTTTCCCAACATATTCACCAATTTTTATCCCATACCCAATTGCTTATTCAAGCAATTTGCAAAATCAATTTTAAAAGAAAACTAGTCCCTGTGTAGACGAACTTGGAATATTTCCAGATTATTACTTGTGACAGTGTGCACTTGCACTTACCCTCTAGCTATTAAGCTGAGGCGCAATAAAAGAGAATTTGAATTGTAGAAAATAGAATTTTCTCATCCATAATTCAACACGCTAGACTTCTGATTTGCGAGTATTTTGTCATTTATGGGTTGGCTATATTTATAGAACAACCCCATATCCTTTTGCCGTAGTTGGCTGTAGTCAAGTCTATTGGGCTCTATCATACGGTTAGTTTTAACCGTTAGATTTTGGCCTTGGGATCTAACCTTTAGTTGGGCCACTGTTATCATATTTGGGTTTCTAACTTATTTGGTTTTTGCCCATGGTTTTATACCCCAGGTTTACTATTGAGTTTCTAACCTATTTGGCTTTCGCCAACGACTTTATACCTTGAGTTTAGTCGGCACCATTGGGTTTCTAACTGACACGACTCGTCCCAGAACACCCAGTAGTTCAAGAATAGACCGTGTCGACCATGGACCCCACTAGGTGCAGAGTCTATGGTCGAAAATCTTCTAGACTTTTCAACTAACTTCTACATTATATATATTCTTACACCTTCTCTAAATACACTACTCAGGATATTACCTATAAATGATGTGCAATTTCTCAACGATTTTGGGTGGTAGAAGCTGGTCCAGACTAGGATCAGTTTGTAATTGCTTGTTTATGAAATAATAGTATTTTATGGCAACCAGAGCAAGTATGTAAAACATCTTAGAATTATGCTACAGGCGTTACGTGAAAGGA